TATACACCCCAGCCATCCTACCCACCCACCCAGTTTTGGGTTAGGTTTTTACAGAGGGGTGCTGTTTTTTCCTGTGCATAGAAAGGGATTGGGTTCCAATTCCATGATATCCACACAGCCTAAATTGGTACAGCCCATAAACAAATATAATTCTGCTCATTCTATAAAATGGGGTGTGTATGTATATTTAATACAAAATGTTAATCTTGAGCTGTTCCTTGCAAGTACATAAAACCAGAAAGACGGTTGCTTAGCAGTGATTTACTCTGACTCATAGAACTGTTTAATTATTGACTTGAATTGCTCTCCACAGATTATTTCAGAAGTGCGTGTACGATTTTGGCTGAGCAGGAACATTTCTGGCAAGCTGCTTTGATTGTGCAAGTGTTTTAGGCAACTGCAATATGGAAAGCCAGCGTGGTGCAGTGGTTTGAGTGTTGGACTACGACTCTGGAGAGCAGAGTCCAATTTCCAGCTCAGCTATGAAACCCCCCGGGTGACCCTTGGGCAAGTCACACGTTCTCTGCCTCAGGGGAAGGCAACGGCAAACCTCCTCTGAACAAATCTTGCCAAGAAAAGCCCATTATAGGTTCGCCTTAGGGTTGCCATAAGTCAAAATGACTTCAAAGCACACATCAATAACAATATACTGTGACAATAGACTATAGCACACGATGAAAGTCAGCATGGCATGGTTTGAGTGTTCAACTATGACTCTGGAGACCAACATTCAATTCCCAGCTTGGCTATGAAACCCACTGGGTGAACTTTGGCAAGTCACATGCTCTCAGCCTCAGGGGAAGGCAATGGCTAATCTCCTCTGAACAAATCTTGCCAAGGAAACTTCATGATAGGCCATGCAAATGCAATTATGGCTGTGCAAATAGCCACCAAGGAATTGCTTAAAGCAGGGGTAGGCAAACTTTTTGAGCCGGGAGGCCGGGTTGCTGTCCCTCAGACAATTGGGGGGCCGAAGCACCAAAAATAAATAAATAAATAAATAAATAAATAAATAAAAAGTAAAAATTAAAAAAATATATGCATGCACACTTTCTCAGCCCCAGAAAAGCCATGGCAAAACCCCTGTGGCGATTTTGCCAAGAAAACCCCAAGAACAAGTAATAACAATAATAATCAATATCATCGTGGTGGGGGGTGGCGGCGGCAGGATCGGCCTGGGGTCGGTCCAAATAGGTTGCCTACCCCTGGCTTAAAGGATGGGAGGGGCAATGAGTTTGTAGATGTCGGCAACATTGATGGCGTGTTGGTGGTGTTCTTTACACAGCAGGGTTTGAAGATGGTCTAATTTAAACACTGTAAATAATAATAATAATAATAATGATAATAATGGAGTATTTATACCCTGCTCTTCAGCCAAAAGGCTATCAGAGCGGCTTACAAATGGTTAATTAGAATCCTTCAAGTACATTTACTAACAGAACATAAGTATATCAAAAGTGATAGCTCTCTAGTAGCTCTCTTGTTCTTCTTGTCTTTATCCAATTTCCAAATCAACTAATGAAGCATTTCTATGAAACCTGGTTTTCCCTTGCACATAGAGAATGTTATGATGCTCATATTATCCACTGTTTAATAAACAAAAGCAGGGGACATTTGGATGATACTCAGTGGCATAAATACTAAATTTGAAAATGTGTGCTCTCATCATGACACTGTCTATAGCAACATTCCCAGGGAATGTCCAAACATGCAGGTTTTTGTGTTGAGGTGTATCAACAAATAATTGCTAGCAGTTTCCATCTCCACCAAGAACAGATCTTTTGCAAAGCTAATGGCTTTTAGTTGCTCACCCCAGATCATGCCACATCTAAAATATATCTCAATAGTGCCCAACACTCTAATGTTGTTGGGAAAATCCATCCCACCCCCATCTAATGGGGACACTGCACAACAATTATTTCTGCAGTGTGTTTAGGCTCATGGTTGTCCCAGCTAGCCATAAAGTCTTGACTCTAATCCAATGAACCCTGGCTCCACAATACCATTGCCAATACTCCTACTTGTCTACCAAAGACCAGTGCCTGAGACTTCACTACATGTGCACAGATACACTTTGTTGTTGTGTGCTTTGAAAACATTTATAGCTTATGGCGGCCCTAAGGTGAACCTATCATGGGGTTTTCTTGGCAAGATTTGTTCAGAGGAGGTTTGCCTTTGCTTTCCCCTGAGGCTGAGAGCATTTGACTTGCCCAAAGTCACACAGTGGGTGTCATGCTGAGCTGAGTGAGAATCCAACCCTGGTTTCCAGAGTTGTAGTCCAACATTCAAACAGATAAACTAGAAGTCTCTATTCTGAGGAGAGCCAGTGTGGTATAATTGCTTGAGCAGCAGACTATAATTCTGGAAACCAGGATCTGATTCTCTGCTGAGCCATGGAAACCCACTGGGTGACCTTGGATGAATCACACACTCTCAGCCCCAGAAAACCCTGTGATAGGATTGCCTTAGGGCAGGGGTCCCCAAACTACAGCCCGTGGGCCGGACCTGGCCCGTTGAGGCCTTCTTACCGGCCCGCGGCTGGTCCTGCCGCCGCCGCCGCCACCGCCGCTTGGAATACAAAACAGCGCCGGAATCATGCGCATGTGACGCAGGGTGCTATTTTGTATTCCAAAATGGTGCCCGGAGTCGTACGCATGCGCACTACCCGTACACCAATTTGCGTTCCAAAATGGTGGCCGGAGTCGTGCACATGCCCGCGCGATGCTGGGCGCCTGTGCACGACTTCAGGTGCCATTTTGGCACACAAAATGGCGCCCGAGATGTGTGCATGCATGCGCGCATGCGCCTCCAGCCCCCCGGAGATCTGGGGGCCAGTTCACTGGCCCCCAGATCAAAAAGTTTGGGGACCCCTGCCTTAGGGTCACCATAGGTTTGAAACAATTTGAAGGCACACAACTATTCTTACTATTGTGCAAAAAAGATGAGTCTAAGCACTTTGTGGCCTATTAGTAACTTTCTGGATGGTTTGTGGGAAATCTGCAATGCTTCAGACTCCCAGGTTGTTTTAACAACCTGGCTTCTCCGGGTTTGAGAGTACAAACCTTAGTATCTGTACTCAATAAGAAGCTGCAGTGTGTTTTAAGGAACTTGGCTAATTTGGGACAGTAGTCTAAATTAATCTGAAACAGACCCTTCTCAGCCATTACTAAAGTGGGTACCCTAAACATGAGAGGAGAGAGGGATTTAGTAGCCCAGCTTCTCCATCACTACTCTATCTGCTCTGTGCTCTATTTGCACAGAAGGCAAATAAATTGCACTGCAGATGGGTGGGATAGAAATAAATTTTATTTATTTCATTTAACATTTTGAAGAAAAAAATCTGCCTGTATAAGCAAAACTCTCCACATGATGCAGAGCACCAAGAGAAATTGTTTGGGACATCCCAGAAACGATTAAACTCTCCTCTTCAGAAAGTTATCCTCTCTGCTTATAGGGTGTGGAAAAGTGTAAGGAGGAAGTGTACAGACAATATGTTCCCTCTCTTTACCTGTTTATGCCACTCCTATAATACTTGACTAGGGCTAAATAAAGCTTGGAGGGAATCCAGCCCAGAAATGAACCCTGTGTGTAAAGGAATCAGCTCTACTGCTGAATTCCTACGCTGACCATGTCCTCAAAACAAAGTACTGTACCTTGTTCCCTAATGATTTGGCTGAGATCCTTCTGAGAGCCAGCAGAGCAGAAACGTTCATTACCGTCCTTAAACTGGCTTGCAGGCTACTACAGAGGGAGAAGAGAGGTGGCCAGACTAGCAATGGCATTAACAGACCCAGCAGATAGCTACCAATTTTCCAGCATATACTCAGTTGTATTAATTTCCCAGCCCACCTCAGTTGAATTAATCATATGAATTTCAGCTCTGTAAGTTCTCATAATGCTTAAGTCTAGGAATATTTGTTGTTTTTAACTGTCCTCCAGTGGACTCCACTCATGGCGACCCTGTAGATGAGACATCTCCAAGACCCCTTGTCCTTGCGCAAGTCCTGCAAACTGAGACTGATGGCCTCCTTGATTGAGTCTATCCATTTGGCACATGCTCTTCTTCTCTTTCTACTTTCTACTACTCTTTCCTAGCATTACTGTCTACCTTTCTACCTTTCCTAGCATTATTGTCTACCTTTCTACCTGTCCTAGCATTTATATCTTTTCTAATGAGCCGTTACTTCTCGTGATGTTGCCAAAGTATAACAGCCTTAATTTGATCATCCTAGGGCCTAAGCAGACGGCGCAAAGTGCCGTCTTCGAGGCCAGGAAGGGGAGGGGCAGCCTCACGCTGGGCGCCCCAACCCCTTCCCCAAAATGTCCTCGGAGCGGCTGGCCCTCCGCACGGCTGGCGCTCCAACGATGCACTTCTGCTGCAGCGTCCGCACACACTGCAGCGGAAGAGGCGCCGAAGGTGCGGCAGACGCCTTTTGCGGCACACCTTCGGCGTCTTGTGGAAGGAGCACTATTTTAGTGCTCCTTCCTGTAGCAGACACGCTGTGCTGCAGGGCCGAGGAATGCGGATGCTTCGGCCCCGATCCGCAGCTTCCTGGGGTGGCCCTGTGGCGCCCGTCTGCTTCCTCCCCTAGCTTCCACGGAGAGTTTAGGTTTGCTTCCCCCCCTAGCTTCCAGGGAGAGTTCAGGTTTGATCTGTTCAAGGACCCATTTGTTGTCTTCTCGGCCATCCACGGTATCTGTCCTGCCCTGCCTGGATGAGGACGAGGAGGACAAAGAGGACGAGTCAGAACTACCTCTGGGTCCTGAGCCTGCAGCAGAGGAGCCCC